AATTTATCCTGGAGGTATGGTTGGTCAACAAAAACTGACCCCGCCCCTGCCCCCTAAAGCAACCAACAGCTGTTACTATATTGAGTGGCAATATGAAGTCACAGCATTGGTGACTAACCCACCGAGGCTTCCCTACGAGCCATCATCTAAATATGACAGCCTTCCATCATCCTGACCTTTTCACAGGAGAAAGCTGAGTGAGGGGCTTGATGCTGCCTCCCAGGGCTCAAGTTCATGTCTGACCTTCTGTCGCCACCATCTCTGACCGAGCACTTGAGGACACACATGGCCACTCCCACACACAAATTCCCTTTCTAGGAGAAGGTCACGTTCACCCAAGACAGCTTTCCTCCACTAGCCTAACTTTGAAATTAGTAGCCAATTCATGTTAGTCAAACATTAAACAGAATGTTTAATCATCAGGCATTAGGGAGGAATTGGGGAGGGGGGCTGTCTTTATTTACGGTGCTGCACATCCCAGGTACTGGGTTAGACTCTTTACACATAGTTTTTCATTTAATTCTCATAACGCTCTGAAGAAGGTTTTGTGGGTTTAGGAGAGACTGAGATCAGAGGTAACTTTCCAGAAGATACAGAGCTGATCACGATGGGGCTCCGATGCCAACGCAAGTCTCTGTGACTCCACAGTGGACCAAGCCTACATACAGAAAGCTGTAATCACTTCACCGGGATTTTTTTTTAATATAATTTAATTTGTAGAGCAGTTATAGGTTCACAGCAAAATGGAGTGGAAGGTACAGAGATTTCCCATACGCCCTCCTGCCCCCACACATGCACAGCCTCCCGCACTATCAACAGCCCCCATCAGAGTGGTACATTTCTTACAATGGATGAACTTCTATTGACACATCTTTATCACCCAAAGTCCCTAGCTTACATTAGGACACTCTTGGTGGTGTACATTCTATGGGCTTGGGCAAATATATAATGACATGTATCCACCATTATAATATGGTACAGAGTATTTCCACTGCCCTAAAAATCCTCTGTGCTGTGCCTTTTCATCCCTCCCCCAACCCCGTATAACCACTGATCTTTTTACCATCTCCACAGTTTTGCCTTTTCCAGAATGTCACGTAGTTGGAATCATACACTATATAGCCTTTTCAGATTAGCTTCTTTCACTTAGTAATATGCATTTAAGCTTGCTCCATATCTTTTTTTCATGGCTGGATACTCATTTCTTTTTAGTGCTGAATAATATTCCACTGTCTGGATATACTGTGGTTTATTTGTCCATTCACCTACTGAATCACCTGGCTTTTAGGACTTCATTCTAGTGTGGTTTATACTGAAAGTAGAGATAGATGGCCACAGAGCATGGTCACCCTCTTCCGGACCTCATACCTGCCTCCTCACTCCTGCCACCTACACAGCACCTGTGATGGAAGGAGGGGCACCTCTTTGGCATCCCTTTTCCCTCTGTGCCAATTACACTCTCATGTTTCCCTCCAGCCCCCAATACAGTTATTCCTAATATGTCTCACCAGTTACCACACAAGTTTCTCTCTCTCTCTTTTTAAATTCATCCTTCCATCCATCCAACCATCCAACAAGTATTTATTGAACACCTACTTACTATATGTTGGTCCTAGATGTAAGTCCTTAGAGAACACTGAATGTGTTTACCTAATTTGCGTGCAGCGTTACTCCCATCACAACACCCCACTCCATTAATAAACACTTTTGATGGGTGGGGGGTGGCAGTGGTGTATGTGCGCATGGAGATAAAAAAGACAAACATAATGAGTGACTGAAAATAAGCTTGTGAAACCATCTGAATTATTACTATCATCCAATTATAATATATTTATTATATAATAGTATATTATAATTTATTTTTTTAAAGTAAATCAAGGAATAGTTTGTTCTAACAAAAGAGAAGAAAGAAGTAGGCTACTCCATAGACACAGCTGCCATGTTCCTGCTGGGGTTTGAGCCTATTGTTGGTGTCCCTTTAATGAGGAACTGTACCTTCAAATTTGTAGGATTATTACTATTATTATTATTAAAAATCCTTATACAGCACTTTGTGTGTTTTAGGACCAAAGTGCTTTTACATAAATGGTAAATCTACTTGTTGCCTGAAAAGGCTGTATAGGCTGAAATATAAATAGATTAAAGAAAGTTTCAAATAAATTCCTGGAGGGTAGATCTATAACAAGTTATTAAAGTGGAGTTGGGAATAACCAGGGTGCATTCCTAACCAATGAGAATGATGTCATGAAGGGTACGTGCTATAATCCAGCCCAAGCCATCTTCGCGGCTCCATCCAAGGCAGGCGCTTACGTGGGACAGAGCTCAGACTGACCCAGCGCTGATCTGGCAGGTCACTGCTCCGCAGTTACTGGGGGACCTCTGAGCTTCCACTATGTTGGAAGCCTGCCGAAGGGCCTCTCCCCCATCCTTCCACCTCTGTCAGGCCAGCAGCTGTGTGTGTGTCCACCTCTCTCCCCCTGCAAAAGCAAAGCTTTGCTTTGTGTCATCCAGTGAGTCACTGGCACAGTTGGGAACAGACCCAGGATTCCTGCTCATTTGTTTGCTGGGGTTGTTTGCTGGAGATCATAATCCTTAGGCCACATCACTGGCCAGTTACATTTATGGCTCTTAACGATATTTAATGGGGCTTCTGGGATTAGAAAATGATGGGAAGTAAAGGCTGGATGATAAAAAATCAAAATCTGACATGACACATAAGACCTGGATTACCGAAGGTTTAAAAATGGCAAACCAACTCATCGTGTCATTCCATTGGGAAGTGATCCCTAGGTCTGAGGAGGAATAGCCGCCTCACCTACCTGGAGACTGAATGGGAGAGAGGGAAAAGGGAAGTGGGAACAGCCAGGGGTTCTCCAGGTCTTCCCTATGACTTCATCTCTATATTTACTTCAAGTCACCATTTTTCGTCCCTTCTATCATGTATATGACATGTTACAATTTACCATGCGCATTCATGCCCCCGTTCCATCTGAGACATAACAGAGGTGTGATCCCATGGAAGAGCAGTGGGCTGGAATTCAGGCGACTGGGACTTTCTACCCAACAGGCCATGCGACCCCGGGCAGGTCATGTCACCTGAACCTTAGTCCCTTCGTTATAAAACAGGGGCTGGCCTGGTTGGCCTGATGGTGCCATACTGGCCTAAGCTTCCATGTCTGTGTGTCTCGCCCCAGTAACAGAGAAAGAAGCTGCTGCCCCCACAGCTAAGGCTGCCTGTGGTTTTCTCCATTTCCTCCCAAGGCTGTGGTGGGAGCACACCCAAGGTGTTTGGGGACAGGCTCCAGAAAACCTGGCACAACAGGAAGAGCAGTGAGCAGTGACTCCATCAGCATGATAGAGGGGACAGGAGCCAGGGGACACAAAGGAGAGAGCTTGGTGGTGGCTGGAGACTGGGCACAAGTGAAGAGGGGTCAGTTTTAAATGCCTCCAAGGGGTGAGCTGGCGGGGGAAGGTGCTCCTGGTAGACCTGGCATGTGTAGCCTGAGGATAGGGCTGTCACTCTCAGCCAAGGACCAGTAATAATTGTCAGAAGATAACAGGGACAGCAGCTCACCCACTTGGCTCCATTTCCAGTACACCGTCACCATTATTTTGCTCAAAACTTTGAGAAGCTGTTGTCTCTTCATTTGTTTTCAGCATGCATGTGCTGTTTCAACTGGAAAATTTCTATTGCTTTATAGAGAAGAGGTTATGATGGAGGGGAAATAAGGTATTTCTTCTGCACTTTAGTAGAGCTAGCCGCTGGTCTGCCAGGTGAGTCCACTTTGCAGGGTGGTCTCTCTAGTTTCAAGAGAGGAAACGCAGAGTCAAGAGTAGGCCTGGCAGGGCTGGGACTAGGGTGAGGCTAGTGAGGTGCCTGGAGTGCCAGCCTCAGGAAGGCACTTGTTCTCAGGGTTGGGCAAGTGCAGGAAGTGCCTGAGAGTGAGCATCCTCACTTGCCTTACCCTGAGGCCTGGCACCGCCTTCTCTGGGGATCTTTTGGCCTGGAGTGGGTAACTTGTGCAGAGGCACTGGGCTTGTGTTAAAAGGGAAAAAGCTAGTTCTAGGGACTCAACATACATATTCAGAATAAAACATACATTTCATAGCCCAAACTTATCACCAAAAACAGACTTGCAATCCAACTGATCTGGGAATGACTTCTGGTTTGCCATGCTTTAGCTGTGTAACCTAGGGAAACACACTTAACCTTGCTACGCTTTGGTTTCCTTCCTCATCAGTAAAACGGGGATGATAACACCAACCTCAGAGATGGAAGGATTACACGAGGGGGTGTGGGAGGGTAATGAAAATACCTGCCCTATAGTAAACCTCAGTAAATTTTCAGTTCCCTGTGAGGCTGTGATAATGCTGAATGAGCAACTGTTGGACAGGGTTCCTGCCTCTGGAAGCTTCCATGGGCAACATTAGCATAAGTGGAGGGTTTGGACAGCAGTTCATAAATCTCACACCCAGAGAGTTAAGTAACTTGTTTCAGGTCACACTACTTACTGATGACAGACTTTGGACACAGTCAAAAACAGTGATAAAATGGCCCAAGGTGATGGATTATATAAACAGTCAAACCACAGCCTTTCTCTAGTAGCAGAGGTGCGAGCATGTGAGAAGGGGGCTGTAAGTGAAGGGGTTGGGAGTCAAGGGCCGTGGAAAGCTTTTTGGGTCAGGATCACACTCTGGTTAATCAACGAGGGCTTCCAGGAAGAGGTGCTGGGGTTTCAGGGAGGCTCCAATGCGTCTCAGTTGCTCTCCTTTTTTCATCATCTCAACAGTCGACACTTATCAGTACAAAGGGGCATAAGATGGGTCCTGATTCTATGGATAAGTGAGTGGAATCATGCCTCAGATCTTCCCTCAGAGGCCTGGTCCCTTTAAGGCATGTGAACGTTCTAGGGTAGCCTCGCGGCCTCCCCCAGGCGCGCTTACGTCATCCTTCGGGGAAGCGGCTGACGTCAGTGCGTCCTCGGCGGGTGGGGGCGGGGCCGTGACTCATCCGGACCGCGCCCCTCCCCCTCTGCGCGACGGGGGGCACGTGAGCGCGCGTCGCGCTGCTTTCTAATTTTAGCTCCGGCCGCTCTGGCGGGGTCAGGCGAGGTAAAGACGAGCCGAGGGGACTAGGGGGCTGGGGGCGCGGTTCTGTCGGTCCCTGGCAGGCTCGCCGTCGGTCCCCCCGGAGGACGGGGCCCGGCTGGTTGGCGGGGCCCGCGGGCCCATTGGGGGTGTCGGAGCGCGGGGCCTCCCGAGGCGGGCCCCGAAGCGTCCCCTTGGCTTGCCTGCCGAACCCCGAACTTGCCTGCCTCAGAGGAGGCGCTCATGTACGAACCGAGGTTCCCTCCTGGACAGCAACCGGGTACTTCCTAGAGAGGGCCAGGGTTCTGGAAAGTTCCCTGGTGGACCAGGGGTGGCGTGGGCTCGGCAGGCGGAGTGGCCACGTGGAGCGGATGCTCTGCGTCTCCTGCCTGCTCCCCAAGCCCCGGCCTGGCTGGCGTCGCCATCAGAGCGGGCTGGGGGCGCCCGGGACTCCCCCTGAGCCGCCAAGTCCGAGTTGCGTTTGGCAGTGGTAAGGGAGGTGCCCACTCGGGTCAGGCCAAGTACAGGGGCCTGAAGGTCGCCAGTTGAGCCAACGCTGGTGCCACAAAACCCAGGTTCCCCATCCCGAGCCCGGGGCACACCAAGGTGACGGGCAGGGGACCAGATAAAAGCCAGGCATCCTGTGACATCCACACTCACGCGTTCTTTGCGGGGAGGCAGGGGAGAGGGTTCTGGAAAGAAGCTCTGTCAGCGTAAAGTGAACCCCGCAGTTCTGACTTTGCAGAGTGGGTCTGCCCTGTCACAGTGACCTGCATTCTGTTTTGGTGTGGTGTCCTCAGGTTTCACAGGGTTGGTCTCCCTAGGCAGCTCATAAAACAACATTTGGGGAGACTTTGACCTTGTTAGATGAAGGGCATTGAATGTTAACAGAAGAGTGAAATATAAAGATAAACTGAGTGTCAAGTGGTAGTATGGGTACGTTTTCTAATGGTTGGGTTGTTAAAATTTTCTATTTCAAGGCTTTGAAAGCTATAACCTAAAAACCAAAAAATTCTTCGTGTGCCCTTGTCTTAGAAAGAAATGATAGAAAGTTGTGGAATAAACGTAGTTTAGGGATTATGACATGGGTGAATAACAAATGTGTAAACCCAAACGTGTACTTTTCATTTGCTTTTTCAAAAATACCACGCTGACCTTTGTAAATTGGAGATTTTTCAGATATAATTAGGGAAACTAAGTTTTTAGGGCTTTAGTCCTCATTCAGAATCCATCTTAACCCTGTTTAAAAAGAGGACTGATGGTTGCAGTCTAACAAATAAATGTTATATTGTTCATACAACGGCAGAAGTTTCTTTATCCTAATTTTGTACAGTTGCTACCACGTTTTCCTCAATGTAATGCCTATTTTGGGAGGGTCTTAACTTAAGCAGGTGTGAATGATGATGAATCATGTGCTCAAACTGAGCTAACTTCCCTTTGGGTTATTGTTGTATGTGTATATGATGTATAAGAACTTTAACGTAAAAGTCCTCATCTTCAAAAATTAAGGTTTTTAGTCCGGAAATTGAGTTTTTGCTTGAAAAATAGTTAACCTTGGAATGGGCCACCTGCATCCTGTAGCTTTGCTGCCGTCTTCTCTGCCCCCAAGTTGAACCTGCTCTCACTGAGCTACATCTGTTGCTCAGTTATTGTTCACTGTATTGTGATTGATTGTTTATATGCTAGTTTCACCCACTAGATTAAGCTCTTGGGGCTCAGGGACTAGTGTCTTTATCCCTGTGTCTCTGGCACCTGGGATTGTGTTAGCATGTAGGAAGAGCTACATTTTTTTTTTGTTTTTTTGTAACACTTTGTTTCATTGAATAAATGTGGGTTACCAAAACCAGATTGCACATTTTGGGAAGGGAAACTTTTTTATAGTTGAGAGGATGAAGCTGCAAGACTTAGCTGGGCTAGGCGAAACAGTTTCCTTTTTGTCCAAACCTGCCCTGACACCTCCCCCACTCCACCAACACCACCCTTGAGAAAGAAACCAAGGAAACTAAAAGCAGCAACCAAACTAAATTTGGGGGGTATCTAAGTAATGTGGTTTACTTTTAAGTTTAAGATGGTGGAACTTCGTCCTGCTCTCAAGGCAGTAACTAATCCACCCACTGGTTATTAGGTTCTTGTCACAGAGAAGTTAGCCTGTCTTCATTTAAAAAAAAAACAACAGGAATTTCAGAGCCTCTGCTGATTCTGTGAATAGTTAAGACTGGTTACTAAATGCAGTGTTTACATTTGAAATAGAATCAGTTTCTGCACAATGATACATCGTGCTGATCCTGAGAGACGATTGAAGGATATAAAATAAAGAGATTGTGCTTATTCCCTTCCTTAGAAGTTACCGTTGTCAGAGGGGGAGTTTTACAGTAAAGCTTTTCTAACTAGAACTCCTAGCAAACTGACATTGATGCCACACTTAATTTTGTGAAAGGCTAACGACAACAGAATGACTTGCTATCAGAGCTTTCGTTTTGAAAATAATACATAGTATGTTACAGTGATTAATAGTTTCAATAATAACCTAGCTCCTCTGCAAAATCCTGAATCAGGAGGTCTGTATTTAAACATCCTATGTTTAACGCAGAGTGATGTGTATTTGGAAGATTTTTAACAAAATTTTTAATAGGGTTTTAGAAAGTTCAGCTAAATTTTCCCATATAAAGAGTTACGTGAGCGTGATAAAACACAGAAAGGAGATTTCATGAGCATAGGAGAGAAGACGAGAGGGAAAGAACAGAGGACATTGCTGTTGGCTAGGTTAAGCTTTGACAATTCCTGCTCACTTTCATGCTACTCTCCTCACAAAGAAGACATATGTAGGCGCTTTCACCTGGATTTTTTTCTCCAAATAGAGCCCTCTATAATATAATAATAACTTTTGTTTATTGAGCATTATGTGCCAGGCCCTGTGCTTAATGCTTTATGAAATTATTTAAATTAACCCTAGTTACAATCCTATGTTGTCTGGATTATTAATTATTCCTATTTTATAGGTCCAGTCAGGTTAAGAAGCTTAATTAAGGTCACATGACTATTAAGAGACAGCCATGATTTTTAACCCAGGTTTTATGAGGGTTCTCCAGAGAAACAATATCTATCTATCTATCTATCTACCTATCTATCTCTATGTCTATATATCTACCTATGTAGATATATCTATCATCTATCTACCTATCTCTCTCTATATATATATCTACATATATATAGAGAGAGATAGGTAGATAGATATAAAGAGATATATAGATATAGATATATGTAGCCAGATTTATTTAGCTCATGTGATTATGGAGGTTGGCAAGTCCCAAGATCTACAGGCTGAGTTAACAAGCTGGAGACCCAAGGAAAGCCGATGGTGTAGTTCCATTCTGAATCCAAAGGCAGGAAAAAGCTGATGTTCCAGTTCAAAGGCTTAACACTGTGGAGGGTGAGCCATTTTGTCCCTTCAGGCCTTCAACTGATTGGATGAGGCCCACCTACATTATGGAGGGCAATCCACTTCACTGAACCTACAATTCAAATGTTAATCTCATCCAAAAACGCCCTCACAGACACACCCAGAATAAGGTTTGATCAAACATCTGGCCACCCTGTGGCCCAATCCAGTTAATAAATAAATTAACCGTCACACAGATCTATTTGATTTCCAAAGCTCATGCTCTTCACATTATGTCACAATGCCTCCCACAGTGTCCCAGCTTTAACCCTGGGTCTTATTCCCCTCATCTGCACTGTCAATGTCCACCCCACTCATACCGGACCAACACATCTGGTTAGTGCAGGTCTTTAAATACCAGTAACCAACTCAGAACCCCCGCCCCCAATAGCACTCACAACACAACCATTTCCTGCCTTAAAATAACTCCCCAGCTTTCTAATTATATTCCAAGCTTTCTGATTTTCTATTCACATAACCCGTTGGAGTAATTCCCCCCACATCGGCAAATCCTACCTGACTCCTTGGTCAATACTCTTCGCTGACCTCTTCGACGGCACCAAGCCCTGATGGTACAGCTCAGGGAGCCCAGGAGCGTCCCTTCTCTCAACCGCCTTCTTAGGACTCACCTTTCTCTCTGCTTGTTCTTGACTCACTCCTGCCATCGCTGTCACTGCCATTCTAGAACTTCTCCACCCTCTCCCTCCAACAGAAGCAACTGTCATTGCAGGGACCTCACTTGGTTGAGTTCAGACTTGTCAACCCACATCCCAGAGAGTGCTTATTCAAAAACACTTCCATGACCTATGGACTTTTAATAATTGTTTATTAAATGTATTGATTACAACTTTGGAAAGAATAAAAATTCTTACAGTAATTTCTGCCTCATTGGCACTATTGTGTTACATCCCAGGACACCTTACATAGATACCATGGTTGTCGTAATATCACCTCTTAAGCAGTTTTTTCACGAACAGCCTCAGAGTAGTTGTTCTTAGTGGATTAGTTGTCCGTTAATATCCAGAACATACTCGTTCCCAGCAAAGTAATGCTTTGAATATGTTCTCTGCCTTTCAGATTTTAACAGTTTTTTTATTGTTATATATTATTAAGGATAAAAACATTAGAGAACATTAAAAAAACACATGGACAAAATCAGATTTTATTGACACTCAAAAGACACAGTTGAACCTGTCTAACTTTTAAAACTGAATTTTTTTTGTAAAGGAATAAGGAATACCAGCTTTTTTTTTTTTTTGGCTTTTAAAAAAAATTTTACTGGGGAACAGTGTGTTTTTCCAGGACCCATCAGCTCCAACTCAAGTCGTCATCTTTGATCTAGTTGTGGAGGGCGCAGCTCCTTGGCCCATGTGGGAATCGAACCGGCAACCTTGGTGTTATGAACACTGCGCTCTAACTACCTGAGCTAACCAGCCGCCCAAAATTGAAAATTTTAAGATGGGTTTTGGAAGATGGGATTCATTGGGAGAGGACAATTTTTACAGATAATTGTTAGATATTATCACTTAAGGTATTTTTTATTCTAAAAGTCAACTTACCAAACACAATACACTTAAAGGGTATTTTTATTAAAGCCACAAATAAAAATATACTCCTCTTCCATATTAGAAGAAAATAAGGTGTGGATTTTTTGACTGACAGTGACATCTGCCACAATTATATTACTTTAATCAGGGCAAGAGAGCTCTCGCTGTTTACAATACATTTGTTCCAGGGTTTCCAGAGGTTGGAATTCCATTATGCTTTCTAATTTAAATTGACTTGGTTGGCTTGGGTATGTCTGGTAGAGTAAAATCAGAGGGTATTAAAGAAGCGACATCACTTAATTACCCTTCCCTGTGTTCTTAATAATGTTGGATTTTTTAAACCCAGTTTTGTTGAAAACAATCATTACTTTTCCTTTGCCTTTTTAAGACACTGAGCAACATTTATGTTTTAGGACGCAATCAACTCTATCAAGTAATGAAGCAAGCTGGTAATTCTTTGTCCTTAACTATTAAATGTAGAGTTTTCAGCATATGATATAAGCAGAATTTATGGTAACATTATGGAAATTTAAAACACTGAAATTTTGAACAGACTTAGATTAGTTTCTCTGAGATTTTAAAAAAATATGTAGCATTGCCTTAGCAACATTATGGTTATAATAAAGATTTTGCCACCCAAATCCTTATCTTTAAAAAAATCTCAAACCATTTTTCTTATACTCTATTTTAAAATATTGATACATTGAATTGTATAATATCAAATTGGATTATTAGCGTTATAAAATAGATGCAAAAAATTACTAGACCTTCACTCATGGAAAGAAAATCTGTTTTGCACCTAAATTGTACATTGTATTTTAAATTTTATTTTATCTTTAGCTGGGTAGTTAAGATTTTAGGCTTTTTGTTTTGTTTTTAAGTCAGGTTTACTGAGGTAATTTACATGAAGTAAAATGCATCCTTTTAAGTGTAAAGTTCTATGAATTCTGACAAATACAGTCATAATCTTTACCACAATCAAATCAGAACATTTCTATCACCCCAGAAAGTTCACTTGTGACTCTTTGTAGTCAACCCCTTTCCTGAAAATAAAATTTTAAGAAAATTAATGAAATAAAACTTGTAAAAAGATGCCTAGTACACTGGCCTTGGGCCATTGTTGTTGTAAACTGGATTATACCTTTACAGGGAAGGAAGTATAATTGAAACAAACCTAAGATTTTGACTATATTACTCTAAAGTGGTTGAAGTGTTACAAACAAAACATAAATTGAAGGATTGATTTTATTATGCTTTATTCCATTTCCCAATGTATGTTTATGACGCATGTTTCTTCACCCTATGTCCATCTCCCCAAGTATCTTTTTTTTTTTTTTTAAGATTTTTATTGGGTAATTGGGGGGATGGGAACAGTACTGGGGAATTAGGGGAAGGGGAACAGACGAGTTGCTGTCGTTTTGTTCTTCAATCTAGTTGTGGAGGACACTGCTTCACTGGCCCAAGTT